GGAGACCAATTGTCCCAGGAAAGGGCCTCAGCAAGACTGGGAAAGAATCCGTTTCCTTGCCCATAAAAACAGCCTCTCAAAATCATACCAATAAAAAAGAACGCGTTTCCGCTTCACCACCTCCCTCCAAACGTCCAAAGCCACAGACTCCTCCCTGATGTTCTCAAAGCTCTCCACTACCAACAACAGCAACAGGCAAAGCGCTGAACAGAGAGACCTCACCAGCGTAGTTCCCAGCCTAAGCTGCAATACACTCCGGCGGTCACCAGATGTCGCTATAGGACACGTGAAAGCACAATGCGAGCCACCTGCTATTTGCAAGGTAATGAAACAAAAGATTTTCCAGAGATCACTTAAACTAACAAAATGAATGTATCAGAAATGAATGTATCAAAAATAGATGTATAAAAAGAATGTATCAAAAATGAGTGTATCAGAAATGAATGTATTATGTTTGTAGAATTGTGTGTTGAATTTTAAAAAACCCCTGCACAGAAGGGCATAAGAAAGAAAAACAAAGATCTCTAAAGCTGCTTGCAAAGGACAAATACCGGAATGGACAAAGAATGCTAAGACCCCAGACGAGGAAGCCCTATGTCGCCAGCATGTCAAAAATGATGAACTTATCCAGATAAGAGAGCAAAGGACCAAAAGCGCAAGCGCAGAGGAGGAGAGTTCAAAAGTTCAATGCTGAGGAAGACTAGGATATAAATAAAAAGACCACCAGGGACCCCCATAAGAAACCCTCACAAAGAACTACGCGTGCCCAGAAAGGCGTGGACCTATTTAGCATGGGAAGCGAAGACAGGCGGGGCCAGGGGTTGAATATGCATAGAAAAATTGTGTAATGTATTGCATATGTAACACCTTTGTGAATAAAGTCAGGGGGCAAACTTCAGCTCGGGGCACAAGACTTCAGAGAGTGATCTCACTTGTGCCGAGCGCTCCCATACATACCCACTTCATAACTACCTCGAGTTGTGGAGTCTATTTATTTAGTCCGAATATCGCTTCATTTGGCGACCGCGGCAGGACTTCTCTGCTCACCTGTGGGTTCGGTGGAGGGCAGACACCCTCAGGCGCCGCGGGGCATTTTCCCCGGAGGGATTCTGGACCTCGGCTGTACACTACAGGGAGCAGAGCACGGCCCGTCGATAAACGGACAAAAGTGGTATGTATTATTTTCTTTTGTTTAAAAACGGCACTGATAAGTCGCATTAAAACGCTTCTTGCGCTCAGGTTTGCCAAAGGGGCTTGCAAGCAGACCGCCACCAAGGGTAAGATCGGCGGAGAGGGTGTTCCCCCCCTTTTTTTTTGTTGTTTTGAGCTGATTGCGCGGCTAAAGGGGGAGGAAAGGGTTAAAATTCCGGAGCTGATTGTGCAGCTCCAGAGGAGAAAGAGAGGCCCCGCCTCTCCTTTTGTTTTGAGCTGATTGCGCGGCTGAAGGGGGAGGAAAGGGTTAAAATTCCGGAGCTGATTGTGCAGCTCCAGAGGAGAAAGAGAGGCCCCGCCTCTCCTTTTTGTTTTGAGCTGATTGCGCGGCTAAAGGAGGGCTGATTGTGCAGCTCACGAGGTGAAAGAGAGAGATCTCCGTTTCAGTGTGGTGTGTTTGTTACGTCCGGACGTGCGTGCTTGTATATATGTGTGTCTGTGTGAGTGAAACAGTAAGAGCCTCGGCGCTACCGGAAGTCGCCGCGTGGCGTTGCTAAGCGACGCGGCGAAGCCGGGAAGCCTCGGCGCTGCCGGAAGTCGCCGCGTGGCGTTGCTAAGCGACGCGGCGAGGCCGGGAAGCCTCGGCGCTACCGGAAGTCGCCGCGTAGCGTTGCTAAGCGACGCGGCGGGGTCGGAAAAGCGCAGCGCTTTTGTTGCTAAGATACCGCGACGCGGCGCGGGCTGTCTCTGGTGAGCAAGAACGCAGCCCAGACTTGCTAACTACTAGCGCAGCTAGTAAAAGGCAAGACTTGCAAACACCACTTACAAACATTACTAGTTCCTAGGTAGTCGTTGTGCAAAATCAAGAACATTTGCTGCTGAGTCCTAACTAACAAAAAAAAAAAAAAAAAAAAAAAAAAAAAAAAAAAAAAAAAAATTTTTTTGTTTCTCTTCTTCCCTCCCCAGTGGCCTGGATTACTGGATTACATTTGTAAGGCTCTAGGAGGCATAATGGGAGCAAAACAAAGTACAGAAATATCCAAGGCCAGCCCATTAGGGTGTATCTTAGCTCACTGGAAGGAAATAGCAGGTAAAGGGGGCGTGGAAAACAAAAAGAGCTTGATCAAATATTGCTCCCATTGGTGGCCACTCTATCGCCTAGAGGAGGGGGCCAGATGGCCTCCTACAGGTACATTGGAGTATAATACCTTGCTGCAATTGATGCTATTTTTACGAAGGGAAGGGAAATGGGAGGAAGTTTCTTATTGTGATATGTTTTTCTCCCTTAGAAATAACCCTGAGTGGCAAAGGGACTGTGGCATCAGGGCCCCCTCTGATCCCCTCGTTCTGGCTCTGGAAAGAGAAAACAGAGGCAAAATGGGGAAACTTAAACGGTGCTGCTCAGCCTGTAGTATAGGACAGAGGTGCACCAGGACAGATAAAGTTTATCGCACAGCACTAGAAGAGCAAGAACAAGATCTAAGTAATCTATTTAGTCCTCACCTAAGAAGGCAAGAAGGAAGAGGTGAGAACTCAGGACAGGCATCACCACTAATACCTCCACTACATACTCCCCAGCCCACCCCACCAGCATCACCTGAATTACCTGCAGTACCTGCAGTACCTGCAGTACCTGCAGCACCTGCAGCACCTGCTGCACCTGCAGCACCTGCATCACATACACCTGTTCCACCCACCCCTTCTCTTCCTTCAGAAAGAACACACGCTCTAACCCCTACAGATAGCCCAATTGCATCCCGAACCAGAGGACAGATATTGCAAGCCCCTTTAAGAGAGACAGTGACATCAGAGGGAGAAAAGGTACTAGTCAGGGTACCATTCTCCACCCTTGATTTGGAAGCATGGGAAAGGGTTGCAGGAGATTACCGAAATGACCCAGTCAACACTGCTAAACGTTTACGATACATTATGAAGCAACACAACCCAGACTGGGGTGACATTCAATTGTTATTAGATGCGTTCACTGAAACAGAAAAGCAGTTGGTTCTAAAAACAGCAGGAGATCTGGTAGCAGACCATTTTAGAGAACAAGAAGTAGATCTAAGGGAACATTTTCCACTTCAAGACCCAGGCTGGAACCCAAATCAGCTAGAAGAGAGACAAAAGCTAAAAAAGTACCAAGACTGGGTAATATTGGGAGTGGAAAGAGCAATTCCTAAGACCATAAATTGGTCAGCTCTATATGCTATCAAACAGGGACCCTCGGAATCCCCCACAGAGTTCCTAGACCGTTTGAGAAATGCAATGCGGCGCTATACACCACTAGACCCTGCATCTGAGGTGGGAATACAGCAACTAGTTAATCTATTTTTGGGACAGTCCACAGGGGATATCAGGCGCAAGCTCCAGAAGATTCGAGGAGAAAACGCCCGGAATCTAGAAAATCTACTGGGAGAAGCCTGGGGGGTCTTTAGCAACAGGGAGGAAGGATATAAGCGAGGGGTGAAAAATTTAGTAGCAATAGTACAGGAGGAGCGGAGAGGAAAACATGGAAACAGGCAGGAGCCATCCAGGCAAGGCCCCCCCCGATTGGGCAGAAATCAATGTGCAAACTGTCGGAAACAGGGCCATTGGAAGAGGGACTGTCCAGAATGGAAACAAAATGGTCAAGGGAATCAAAGGGGGGGAATAGTGGCCCATGTGCAAGAAGATTAGAGGGGACCGGAGGAGACTACCCCAGCAGGCCCTCTGGTTGTAAATCTGAAGCTGGGGGAAATGGAGAAAGAAGTAAGATTCCTAATTGACACTGGGGCTACATATTCAGTTCTAAATACAGCTTTGATGCCTATAGGAGATGATTATGTTATAGTTACGGGTGCGACTGGCCAAACTGAAAAGGCATTTTTCTTCAGGCCACTCAAATACAAACTGGGAAAGCAGTGGGGGATTCACAAATTCCTATATATGCCTAACTCCCCTGAGCCACTTTTGGGCAGGGATTTGCTAGCACAATTACAAGCAACCATTACATTTAAAAATGGGGAAATGACTCTGGAGGTAAACGATCAAAAATATGTAGAAATATTAAGTTTGATACTAACCACTAACGAAATCACGAGAGAAACTGAAATTAATGGAGAAGTAATGGATCAGGTATTCCCTGGGGTGTGGGCCTCTGATGTACCAGGGAGAGCGAAAAATGCTTCCCCTATACAGATCCGGCTAAAAGAAGGAAAACACCCGGTCAGGGTTAAACAGTATCCCTTGAGGAGGGAGGATAGGGAAGGGATTAGCCCAATAATTGAAAACTTCTTACGTCTAGGAATTCTCAAGGAGTGTCAGTCCGATTTTAATACCCCTATCCTACCAGTGCGCAAACCTGATGGGTCATACCGGTTAGTACAAGATCTGCGAGCTGTGAACAAGGTAACTGAGGACCTGCATCCTGTGGTAGCCAATCCTTACACGTTATTAACTTGCTTAACACCCGAATTAACTTAGTTTACCGTTTTAGATTTAAAAGATGCCTTCTTTTGCCTTCCTATCCATGAAGCCAGTCAGAAAATTTTTGCATTTGAATGGGAAAGCCCCAAAAGTGGGCGGAAGACCCAACTTACGTGGACGAGACTCCCACAAGGATACAAAAATTCACCCACTCTGTTTGGAGAGCAACTTGCGAAGGAATTGGAGACTTGGAAAGCCCCTCCCGAAGAAGGAAAGCTGTTACAGTACGTAGATGACATCCTGATAGCCACACGGACAAAGGAAGCATGCGTGGCCTGGACGGTAAGCCTCTTGAACTTTCTGGGGCTCCAAGGGTACCGGGTATCCAGGAAAAAGGCCCAAGTAGTCACACAAAAAGTAATTTATCTGGGTTACGAAGTCAGTGCTGGACAACGTAGCCTGGGCCAAGGCCGGAAGGAGGCAATATGTCAAACCCCAAAACCTCAAACTGTAAAGGAGTTACGAACTTTCCTGGGGATGACAGGGTGGTGCAGATTATGGATCTATAATTATGGACTGCTTGTAAAGCCTTTATATGAACTAATTGCAACTGAAAGCAGGGACATCCAGTGGACAAAGGAAACTACACAGGCTTTCAACCAACTGAAAAAAGCCCTCATGTCAGCTCCAGCTCTGGGACTGCCAGATGTGAGTAAGCCTTTCCTTTTGTTCTCCCATGAAAAGCAAGGAATTGCCTTAGGAATATTAGCACAGGACCTCGGTCCATACCGGAGAGCAGTTGCTTATTTCTCTAAACAGTTAGATACAGCCGCTAAAGGGTGGCCTGGGTGCCTCAGGGCTGTGGCAGCAGTTGTAATGAACATCCAAGAAGCACGTAAATTCACCCTGGGCCAGAGAATGACTGTGCTAGTGTCTCACACGGTGTCTGCAGTACTGGAGGTGAAAGGCGGACACTGGCTTTCCCCACAACGATTCCTGAAGTACCAAGCTATTATGGTAGAACAAGATGACGTAAAGATAGTGGTGACTAACATTGTCAACCCAGCTTCCTTCCTCAGTGGAAACCGAGGAGAACCAGTGGAGCATGACTGCCTAGAGACCATTGAGGCCACCTACTCCAGCCGCTCTGACCTGAAGGAAACCCCTCTCGAGAATGCAGAAGCCTGGTTTACGGACGAAAGCAGTTATGTCGTCAATGGAAAACGGCACGCCGGGTACGCAGTAACCACCTGCAAAGAGGTAATAGAATCTGGACCCCTGCCAACAAATACCTCTGCACAAAAGGCCGAAATATTCGCCCTAACTCGGGCCTTAGAATTGGCAAAAGGGAAAGAGATAAATATATATACAGACTCAAAGTATGCTTTCGGAATAGTGCACGCTCATGGAGCCATCTGGAAAGAGAGGGGACTGCTGAACTCTCAAGGGAAAAACATTAAACATGCATCTGAAATACTGCGACTTCTGGAAGCAGTGCAATTGCCAGAGAAAGTAGCGATCATGCACATTAAGGCACACCAGAGGATAAACTCAGAACTGGAAGAGGGAAACGAGCTGGCGGATAGGAAAGCAAAAGAAGCAGCAAGGATGGAGGTAATAACTGAGATAGCACTGATCCCAGATGGGCAGATTTCCCTCGAAGGTAAGCCAAAATACAACAAATTAGACACAAAATTGATTCAAGAGCAAAAAAGACATTATAACTCAGAGGGATGGGCTACCATAGAAAGAAAGTTAGTCATACCCTTCTATTTATTATGGTCCCTAGTAAGGGAAGAGCACCAGAAAACACATTGGGGAATAGATGCCTTGTATAAATATCTGAATAAGAAGATCATAGCTAGACATTTACGAGCCACCATCACTCAAGTGACTCGACAATGTGATCTTTGCCTCCAGACAAACCCCAAGAATATTCCCAAACCAAAACTTGGCCAGATTGGGAAGGGCCATGGGCCAGGACAACAATAGCAGATTGATTTCACGGAATTACCAAGAAAAGGGGGGTATAAGTTTTTACTAGTCCTAACAGATACCTTTTCAGGATGGCCAGAAGCCTTCCCCACCAGAACTTCTAAAGCTCGAGAAGTAACTAAGGTATTGGTACAAGAAATCATACCACGATTTGGGGTCCCGGCTACAATCTCCTCAGATAGAGGATCACATTTTATTGCAAAACTAGTACAACAGGTGAGCCAATACTTGGGCATAGACTGGGAACTTCACACCCCATATAACCCACAATCAAGTGGTCAAGTAGAGAAAATGAATCATTTGATCAAACAACAAATTGTACGGCTGGGACAGGAGGCTAATTTGCCATGGCCCCAATCCCTCCCACTAGCACTACTGCGGATTCGAACCAAACCCAGGACCAAAGAAAAACTGAGCCCTTTTGAATTGCTTTATGGAAGACCATATGGGGTGCAGAAGGGAACGTCTGCCCAGGACGTATCACTAACCTCCTATATGATCGCTCTAAATAAACAACTTAGAGCAATCGAGAAATATATAGCCGGAACTCGGGGTACGGGACTCGATGCACCAGTACATGATGTACAACCTGGAGACTATGTATATATTAAGTCTTTTACAGAGAAAGCCCTAGAACCACAGTGGGAGGGACCATACCAAGTACTCCTTACTACCTTCACTGCAATCAAGATTAAAGAACAAAGCGCCTGGATCCACCACAGTCGGGTTAAGAAAGCTCCAGAAGCCACTTAGAAGATAACACCGGGTGATGGTGAACTAAAACTAAAATTTACTCGAACAAAATGAGTATGTCATGGTGGGTGGGGACTTTTACTGAAATATTGTTTACAATCTTAGCTGCATTCCAACAATTAGAAGGTAAACCTAGTCAGAACGACGTTAAATGGCCTTGGTCCCAAGCCTTTACTCAATACACTGGATCCATGGGAAAAACTTCCGATTTAGAAGGTTTAAATCTAACAACTCTGGTCATACACAGTAATCAAATATATACCCAACAAGAGTGGCAAAACCAGGGTTTGTGGTCACTCCAAGGGACCATAGGAGAAGTAATTGAAGTAGGGTGTCGAATGATTAATGGGACTACCCACAACAAAGTGATTCAAATCAGTGTAAATGATCGCCAAGAGATTTGCAACCATCCAAGTAAATTAGACTGTTAGTGCAGATTCAAATTAGAACAAACTAGTAAAGTGGTTTGCCTCTGGGCCCGTGACACTATTGAGCTGTCCTTTAAATTTATAATAAATGCTATAGCCAAACCAGCTACGACCCACTCCAGCACTCAAGCGCAAACCCAAAATACACCATCCAATCTTGAACCTAGAGTTTATGAAATCGGGCCATATGTTATAAAGAATACGGGCCAACAAAAACTGTTATTTAACCCAGAATGGTCCCTTAAACGCGTTGAACTGTTAATGCAAATTAATATCTCGACAGTTCAGCCAGCCTGCTCCCCTTTCCTAAGGTCGTCCTTCGAAGGATGGACAAAGTGGCTACAGAAACGAGTACACCTCCGAGATAGAATGCAAAGGGATTTGACTGAGATCTTAGGGACCGGGTTAGGAGTTCTAAACGGGATTGACTCTGAAATATTGATGAATAAATTAGCTATAGCAACTAGTGACCTAACAAAATTAAAACAACCCTTACAGTCATCTCTATTAGCACTGAGAAATACTCAGTGGCAAGTTTCAAGAGTATTGCCAAAATGGAGAAACTTTGAAGATCATGACCATAGTTTACTGATAGATGCATTAGGAGGAGCACAAGAGAACATATCTTTAGCCCTTAGTTGTATACAAGCGCAATTATGGATACAGTCAACAGCTGCTCTAATCATAAGAGAAGGAAGTGAAGGGGTGTTTCCAGTAAAAATACGAAAAGTTGTCTGGGACAGTGCTACAAACTTTAAGAGAGACCTCCAGTCTTGGTGGACCATGGTAAATTTTACATATGATCCCACCACTACCACAGCTACTGCCTTCGTGCTCACCGTTCGTAATGCCACAGTTCACACTATTCACCCCATCATTGCTCTAGGATTAAGTCATGAAAAGTCAGTACTCTACCCCTCAGAACACAGAGCATGGGCCTGGAAAAACCAAGGGAAATGGCAAACCATCAACCTAGAGCCTTGCATTGCTCGAGAGCAACAAGGATTCATCTGTGAGAGTAATCTAATTAGTGCTCAAGACGTATGCCTTGACACTGATCAGGGTATTTGCCACTTTGAAATCCACCCAGACAACAACCAACAAACTATACTAGTATACATAGGCAATGGCTGTGTGTGTTTGAGAACTGTGTGTAACGTTATAGAAATTGATAAAAACATAATCCCCTTGTCTAGTAAAAATCATTCAAATTTCTGTATTTGTAACTTCATCAAGATTACCAGGTGTGATTTTATATACTCAGCACCAGTCGTATCCCACCAGTTAATGAAGTCAAACTACACAACCTACGATGAATTACCTCCCACAACTATTGGGATGAATCTGACCCTAGTAAAACAATTAATGAAACATCAAGATCTAATCAAAATTATAGAGGAGGTTCATAAAAATGGGCAGAGAACTCTAGTTACAGTCCATCATGACGTAACTGAAATAAACAAAGTCCTGCAAAGAATAAAACAAGACGGGAGTCATAACTAGTGGGATGCACTGTTTGGGTGGTCACCGACTGCGACGGGCATCATGAACACTCTATGTCACCCCATTATTGTTTTACTAATATTGGTTACCATAAGTCTGATAATGTCTATTTTAACACTTGTGTGAAATTGGAATATGTTACAACGTGTAGCCATTCTAACTTCACTTTCTAGAACTCATGGGATCCTGATAAAAGAAGACTATCATGATAGTAAGCTAGGAATGAAACCAGAACCCCTGTAGTAAAAGAATTTACTAAGTTTTAAGAAAAGGGGGGACTGAAACAAAAGATTTTCCAGAGATCACTTAAACTAACAAAATGAATGTATCAGAAATGAATGTATCAAAAATAGATGTATAAAAAGAATGTATCAAAAATGAGTGTATCAGAAATGAATGTATTATGTTTGTAGAATTGTGTGTTGAATTTTAAAAAACCCCTGCACAGAAGGGCATAAGAAAGAAAAACAAAGATCTCTAAAGCTGCTTGCAAAGGACAAATACCGGAATGGACAAAGAATGCTAAGACCCCAGACGAGGAAGCCCTATGTCGCCAGCATGTCAAAAATGATGAACTTATCCAGATAAGAGGGCAAAGGACCAAAAGCGCAAGCGCAGAGGAGGAGAGTTCAAAAGTTCAATGCTGAGGAAGACTAGGATATAAATAAAAAGACCACCAGGGACCCCCATAAGAAACCCTCACAAAGAACTACGCGTGCCCAGAAAGGCGTGGACCTATTTAGCATGGGAAGCGAAGACAGGCGGGGCCAGGGGTTGAATATGCATAGAAAAATTGTGTAATGTATTGCATATGTAACACCTTTGTGAATAAAGTCAGGGGGCAAACTTCAGCTCGAGGCACAAGACTTCAGAGAGTGATCTCACTTGTGCCGAGCGCTCCCATACATACCCACTTCATAACTACCTCGAGTTGTGGAGTCTATTTATTTAGTCCGAATATCGCTTCAGTAAAGAAGAAAGTTTATTTTCCGACTCCAACTGTTATATTTTTCCAAAGGTGAGAGTGGATTGGAGAGTGAATGGGCCACCTCTCCAAAGACATTGGACAAACCACTGGTACATCAAGTTTCTCCACCCTATGAAGGAATGCAAAACAATATGTTGTTTATAGAAATTGTGTGGGAAAGTTTTCTAACAGAATGTAAACTCAGAAGGCTTTAGAAAATCTTAAGAATCAGGGAAACAGTGAAGTAGTTTTTACTATATAAGAACAAAAGTACTATTCTGTCAAATTTTGGCAGAAAATGGTCTTCCTTCCTGGGAGGTGGGCAAGGGAAATATCAGAAGTGGTATCATCCCTGCAAACAATTTTGTCTCCCATCCCAGCTGCAGGTTTCAAAGACTGAGAGGATCATTTTTGCACAGGTATGCCGTATCTTACAGAGGGAGGAACAAAGTCCCAAAGAAAGGGCTGAACTTAAGGAAAAGTAAGACAGACAACCTGAGAGTTGATGAATCAGTGGAAAACAAAGAAAATGGAAAGGAAAACTTTGTAGCTCTGTTCTCCACAGCAGAGCTAAGTGAATACATAACCTTGGCCCAGTGGCCCAGTAACTGCTGTTACTTGTCTGCAACAGGCAATGTTTTATTATATGCTTCTACTGACATCTGGGCTGGGCTAGGTCTGCCAGAAAGGTTCTTATAGCCCATAACTTGCTTAATAATGAGTTATCTAATATTTATCTGAGTAAATAAAGACACTGCATCCTTTGCTTTGGCACCTCAAAATGATATTTTTCAAAAGTA